CTCATTTGCCCTGGAAAAGTGTTAGGAAAAATACCAAACATACGATGTCCCATTTGAGGAAAGCGAACACCACATGGGGGAAAACGTGGTCCGCTAGTGCTGTAGGACTGAAAGCCACTGTCGCGAGGTCCAAAGTCATATTGATCATGAGCTAAACCACGCCGGGCACGACCACCGCATGGTCTCACAACCTGAGGCCTAGCACCTTGAGGCATTGCACCTCTAGGCCTAGCACTGCGCCTCTAAATGGGCGGCACATGTATGCCATGGGGTGGGCGGTACATGTTTTAGTTGTTCAACTCATACTCTCGCTGCTCATCTCTTTTCCTCCTAAAACAAAAGTCAGCAAGATGACCATCCCTATGGTAGTAGTCACAGTGATACCTCACCTCTCTCTTGGGTGGTTGTTGGCTCACTCTCTTGTGGGTATGGTTCACTCTTGGTGGATTTTTAGCTTTAGGAAGGGGATCCTTAGAGATGTTTGGTAGAGTATCAAGTGAGTTCTTGAGATGGTTAGGTTTTGGAACCCAAACTTGTTTCTGGGGTGGAGCTTTTGGAGGTTCTTCAAACACACCATCTTTGGTGGTAGGCAAATTAGGCTCATGTGGAGTGATCTTGATCAATTTGGGAGTAGTGGTAGGTTTCTCACTTGGTTTCAATCCACTATATTCTCCAACCTTGCCATAGAGATTTTCACCCTTTCCACCTACAACAAAGCCTACACCCGATGCACCAGTTCCTCGCCTAAACTAGCTCATCATCATGCCCAACTGCGGCTCACTACAGGACACCCAGCTTAAGATGGACCAGAGGTTTGTGTTGTCTTCCTCGGTTCTCATCTTGTCATGCCTGCAAAACTCAAGCTCTAGCTCCAAACCCTCATAGCGTGCACACCTAGCCACAGTGCTATCTGAACTGGCCATCTCAAGCAAAGAGATCCTAGCAACCTTCTCTGCCAGCTCAGATTGCAAGCTTGAGCAGGACTTGCACACACCCAACAAGCCAGACCTAGACCTCAACTCATCATTCTCATCAAGCAATGCAACATACTTTGATTGCAAATCAGTAAGGTTGGACATGTGAACAACACACTCATCGCACTCGACCTCGTCAGACACTACTATAGCGAGCTTCTTAGTTTCCTTAAGCTCCTTCAGCGCAATTTCTAGCTTGTCCTTAAACTCTTTCCTCTCACGGGTAGCACACTTCATAGCTTATCTTGGCTAAACAAGGTGTCATTCATGGTTTCAAGATCAACAACAAGATAGTCGACGGAAGGTGTTACCTCAGTAGCGTCATCATTGACAGGAACCACATCCTTGCTAGCCTTCACTTCGGCATCGACTGCCATGGTGCAAAACCCTCTATGGATGGAACCAGCGATGAAGCAGAGCCCAGTTAGCTTGTCCTCGCGCTTCCTCTTGGACTCATCATCGCTTGATGGGGAAGAAGAGAGGTCGTTGTTGGTGTCATTGTTGAGGTCACTGAGGGAGGCAAGGAAGGCACGCACCTAGACCTTGGCCTTCTTGAGGTACATCTTCTTGAGCACCTCCTTGTTGAATCCTCCCTTTGACTTGTGCTTGTCGGAGGTGTACTCGCACTTGTCCTTGCGCTTGCTAGAGTCATACTTGTCAGAGGAGTGCTTCTTTCTTGGGGCAGTGGGCGATGAAGTGGTTGGGGTCTCCACAGCCATAGCATCCTTCCTTTGGACTACCACCGCGTTAGCAATTCGAGTGGTTGTTGTGAAACCACGACAACCAGCTGATGACCAGTGCCAGCTCATCGTCCCCAAGGGCCTCCAACTGCTCCTCTGTGACAGACACCAAAGAAGACATGGCAAACGACATCTGTGAAGGGTTAGCTAAAGAACTTGAGATGTTACCTAAGACTAAATCCATAGTTGGTGCAGAGGGGTTCTTGATCTTGGCTTGGGTCTGGTAATCAATCTTGGTGGACTTGAGCCTACTGAAAAGCTCATCCACGGTGAGGGTGTCATAGTTCGTAGACTCAATGATAGAGGACACCTACACATCCCAAACCTTCCGATCTAGGGCATATAGTAACTTGAGTGCCCTCTCATGATCATCATAAGGTAGCTATGGCTTGTTTGCCCGTATCTTGTTCACAATCGTCTGAAAGTGAGAGAACATGACATCGATAGACTCTCCACCCAGCTGAGATAAGTTCTCATACACTCGCTTGTACATCTCAAAGAGTCTAGTTTTGACCTATGCAGTTCCCTCGTGATAGCTCTAAAGCCTCTCCCAGACCTCTCGAGCAGTCATGCAACAGAGACTCTCTTAAACTCAGAAAGCAAAAGACTCGAAAAGAGAACACCGCGAGCCTTGCTATTTGTGTTGTGTTGATCAATTTGATCCTAAGTGTTGCGAGCATCAATCACAATGTAATTAGCATTCTCACAAATCTCCCAAACTTTCCAATCATTTCCCTAAAGATGCGCCGACATGCGAATCTTCCAATAGGGTAGTTTGTTTCATCAAAGAACGGTGGTTTGCTGAAACCACGCTCCATGTCACCTTCATGGATCATGAACCGATTAAGATGGAATGATCCTTAACTGGCTTCGATACCAATTGAAGGACCAAAAATGGCGACCAGAGGGGGTGAATGGGAGTCACAAATTTCTTTCGAAACTTTAAGTCGTTGTCCCAAAATCATGACCCAAGAGCAAAGGCACTAGAGAATGGTATGATCAGAAGCCAACGGGTGGTTGGGTACCTTTGGCGATGACCAAGAGGTACATCGGAGCAATCGAGAACTGATGAAAACAAGTGCTTGAAAGAATAAGAGAAAACAACACAATTTGCATAGGCCTGGACTGTCTGTTGTAGGGAGCCCAAACTGTCCGCAGGTCAGGTCTCAGACTGTCCGGGGCTGAGGGCCGGACTATCCGGCGTTCAACTCCCAAAAACTAAACGATGAGAAATAGTTCTGACCTGGGTAGAAAGAAGAATGGTGGACTATCCACGGTTGAATTCTAGACTGTCTGCAATTCAAACACCAGAAAACAAACTTGCTGAAATAGTTCTGGACAAGCTTCAGCAGCAGCCCCGGACTATCCGTGGGTAGGCCCGAACTGTCCGGCGTTTAGAGCAGCAAAAGATGACCAAAAGAAGACCCTCTGCTCGTGACGTGAACAGTAACAGTGGACTATCCGAGGGTCAGGGGCGAACTGTCCGCGAGTCATGAAATCAGCACAAATAGAGTCGCCCGAAAAATGCCCGGAGCAAGGAAAATCCTGATTTGTGACCAAATCAATACCAATTGCCACCAAATTTTTACCACATGGTCACAAGGCAATAGGTGAGCTACCTTTAGGAGGTCATCACCCAATTTGAAGCCAATCAACAAGAAACTAGATGAACACAAAAAACACCGGCTTTCCAACCCTAGAGCTTGATTCGCCCCGATCTATGAACTCATGAGGAATTAGATGAAATCGCTTGATGGAAAGGCTCAACTCACGTCCTAGTTCATCTCAGTGCAAAAGGAACGAATCAAAACGGTCTCAAAATGACGAATCGAACCAAACAAGAGAGGGGGAAAGGATGAAAGCGAAGAACACAGACATGATTCACAAGAACAACTTACAAATCGAATCCTGGAGGACACGAGAAGGTTAGGGCCTCCATTCCCGCTGCAGTCTTTGGTTCTTACACAAATTATCCAATTTGTGGACCTCTCTCACAAGAAAACCTAAGGTGAGGGGAAAACCTAGAGAAGGATGAAGCAAAATAAAAAAGGTGAGGGAGATGGGAGCCCCCTCATCCTATTTAACAGGGCTATTATACAATCCTAGTTTTGCCCTTAGATATTTTTGAGTTGAACCACTTAACCCAAGGGCACTATGGTCCAACCCGAGGTAATCTTCATCCGACGGCCATCGTGCCCTTCATGAGATAGCTTCGCCTTGACGCGAACTCCTCGATGCCGCCACGTGCCGTTCGTTCCTCCTGAGAACCTTCGCCCGGTTTTGAGTCCCAAACCCGTGAAGCTGGCCACCGATGGTTTTGAGGCCCAAACCACCAAACCGCTCGTGACTAGCCTACTCCATACACGTCCCCCGCCATTTGACATGTGTCACCGCCATCCTCGACCGTCCATCCACCAAGTCCTCCTAAGCCCCGCTCAACTCGCACGTCTGATGTCTTGACTCGGTCAACACGGTCACTACCATGTACACTTGTGCTAGTCGATGTCCCAGATGTCCGGCACTGTGGCTGGTCACCTGGCCTCCTGGTCCCTCAGTCCAAGCCTCACGTCCATCCTTCATCACTCCTGATCCATCGGTATGGCACGTCCCTACTTGACCTTTACCTCATCATCGACCTCCGCCTCTGAGCTCCACACCTGCACACCACAAACCAAGAGACATATCGCACAACCCAACTCACGCCATGGTTAGCTCACAAACTCAACCTAGGTCGTGGATCATGTTGACAATCGCTCATCACAAAATGAACTACAAGGGCACATATCAACCTTGTGTTCGCAAGTTTTGGTGAGTTTGCTTGAACAATCCTTGGTATTCAGTTGACTTCTCCGGTTGTTCATGTTTTCTAGGTTGAGAAAACCCCAACTACCATAGTAACACCCCTTTCACCACCGCAAAATACCATGGCTTTTTGCTTCATTGATCCATCACCATTCCTACCCCATGGTGCTCAACATTAGATGATCAATGGACGTCCTCTTATGCACCATGTTGTGGTTGGCCATGTGCCGAAACACAACAATGACTTGGTCATCACTACCTTCAACCCAATGTCGTAGGGCCTAGTAGACTTCATGGACATTCGCAACATTCTAGATGATTTCCTTCGCAATCATAAATGAATGGGGTATCAAACCATGTAGCCTTGTCCCCATGGTCAAGCTTTGAAAAGGACCTGCTCATTGATAACAGTCCGCATTAGTATGGTGAGGGGTCAATTTCTTTTGTCGAACATAACAGAGCTTGGAACAATAGGACGGCCACCATGACTCATGAAGCTTGGTTGATGTTACTTGGCCTAGATTTGGATCTTTGGACGCAACCACTGTTAGAGAAAGCGGTGTCCTCTTTTAGTCCATTGATGTTATGGGAAGAAGATTATTACCACATGACTAGAGCACTTGTTGAAGTCAGAGTTTTAGACCTAGAAGAAATCCCTTGGTTCTTTGTTTTCACCGAGGGCGCTGATTTTGATTCCAACGGCTGGACGGTGCAATGTGAAGTTCTTCACACTCGTATGCTTGGTGGAGCTGCACAGGATGAAGATATACCACCCGGAGATGATGATTTCAACCCAATGCCTTTTTCTATCATGGGTTGGGCAGTTTGGTCAAGGACCCCCACCACCTCCTGAAGATCCACCTGCACCTTTCATCCTAGAAAATCTGCAAGCAATGGGATGGGGTGCTTGGCCTAATCAAGCAGTCCAAGATTTGGATGGGAACCTTCATCAGCAATTCAATGCAGAGGTGCCTCCACCTTTGATTCCTCTACAACCTCAACAAGAACCCATAGCTCCTTTTTCATTTGACTGAAAATGTACTGCTGAAGATGTACCTGTACCTAAAAATGTACAAGAAAATGTGTTACCACCAGTTGAAGAAGTGATTCAAGCACCAATTGCTGAAATAGATGATGGGCCACTTCCTTTGGTTGAAGGCCAGGCTTGGCAATGGATGACAATACTATTGATGACGATTTCCAGCAACCACCACCACCTATCGCTCATGCTCCAGTGGAGATTCCAAACTTCCCTAATCTTCAAAACATTCCACCACTTCAAGTTGATGAAGTCCCACTTGAAGATCTTATTGCTTTTGATGACCTCTAGCCTCAGAATGACTTCCAGCAGCAGAATGGGCAATTTGACCTAGGGAATATTCAAATAGGCTTTGTTGAGACATTTGTGCCACCGGTTGATCCAGTTCTAGCCCAGCATCCTAAAGGCTCAAGTGCAGCTGCAGTTAGATGTTGGGCAAAGCATTTTCAATGGACCGTTCACTCCCAACTGTCACCATCCCAACCCAGTGGGTAGATTTCTTCATGTTGCTGCTTTTGAAGCCTGGATCATTTGAGTGGGCTCAGAGTTTCTTACAGTCACCAGCTTGGTTGCCCTTAATCAGCTTTTCACGAGTAACTCCTTTTCCTTTTCTCTTCCTAAATCAACACCATCAGTTGTCATCTCTAAATATTCTTGCTCTGATCCCCTTTTACCGGTTTGTCTTGATCCTTTAGAAGATGATACTGAGGATGAGCCTTCACTGACTGAGCCATCCTTGGTTGTGATGATGGAGCCATCTCAAACAGAGCTAATGGGAACACTCTCTGGGACCGGTGGAGCTATTGACACCTTGAAGAACATTGTTGATCTGAATTCCACATAAGTGGTGACTCCACCTCCTGCTGCTCCTTCCACATCTGCCCCACGTGGGAAGCATGGTAAGCATCTTCATATCTCTGATGCAAAATGTTAGACGAAGTGCACGTGTCCATAGTAAAACTCAAGGTTTCAAAAGTCCATCTTGTAGAGACAAGAGTTGTTTGCAATGTTCTACTAATCCTCCCTCTCTTTCATCATCTATAGTTCGTGAGCTTGGTAGTACCTTTTGTTAGCTTGAACCTGTGCCCTCACTGATGATCAGCTTAATGCAAAAAGTGTCAAGCCAAGCACTGTGGGACGGCCCAAATCCAAGAAGGCCAAGAAATCTGAAGGGGACAAGGATGGAGCTGGCCCATCCAAGACCAAGAAGTAGTTTCTAGCTACTTTATTAAGACAGTCTATCTCTTTGTTTTTTGTGTTAATAATGGATGTTAAAAATTAGAAAGTGTTAAGTTGGAATGTTCATGGTATTAACTCAAACAAGAAATGGAATGCTATCCATGATCGTGCTTCTGAATCGTGTTGCAATGTAATTTGTCTCTAGAAAACAAAAAGATCCCATTTTGATGCTATGTTCATACGCCAATTCTATCCACCAGTTTTTGATCAATTTAAATTTCTACCTTCTAATGGAGCTTCTGGTGGATCAATAATCATTTGGAAGAGCTCCATTTTCTCAGGTTCCCTTGTCTTTCAAAATGAATATGCTTCCTCTGTTCTTTTATCTTCTGCTCGTAACAATGCAAGTTGGATTCTTACGAATATTTATGCTCCTTGTACCCCTTCTGGCAAGAAAGATTTTGTTGAATGGTTCCAAAATATTCAAATGCCAGACAATGTTTACTGGCTTATAGTTGGCGATTTCAATTTATATAGGAACCCATCTGATCGGATTAAGCCAGGCGCAGACTACCCTAACATACTTATGTTCAATGCTACTATCAATGCTTTAGGTTTGATTGAGATTAGATTGAAAGGACAACGTTTCACTTGTTCTAATAAATAGCATCCCCTTTGTTAGAGAGGCTTGATTGGTTCTTTACATCCTCTAGCTGGACTATCTCCTACCCAAATACTAATGCTTCTACTTTGATAATGGGGACCTCTGTTCATGTTCCTTGTCTTATTAATATCTCCACTCAGATTCCTAAAAGGCACATTTTCAGATTCAAAAACTATTGGCTGCAGCATGATTATTTCAAGAATCAGGTACATTTGGGCTGGTACACTCCTTTGCAAATTGATGATACAGCAAAGAATATTACTGCTGAGAGTTCTCAAAGAATGGAAACAGACTTTGCCTAGCCTCAAAGAGATCATCAGCAATGTAAAGCTTGTTCTAACTTTTATCAATTTTTTGGATGAGTTCAGAGATTTAAGTCTAGTAGAATGGAATTTCAGAAAGCTTATGGAGGCAAAGCTTATTTCTTTGTTAAAACAACAAAAGACTTATTGGAAACAAAGGGGAGCTATTAAATGGGTCACTCTTTGTGATGCTAGTACCAAGTTCTTTCATGCTCAAGCTACTATTAAATACAGGAGAAATCTAATTACACAGCTTCAAGATGAACAAGGCAATATTTTGACTGACCATTCTGGAAAAGCAAATTTGATTTGTCTAGCTTTCAAATAAAGACTAGGTACTACTAGTTTTAGCTCTATTGATTTTGATCTGAATGCTCACTTCCCACAAGCTGTTGCAGATATTGATGTTCTGGTGGAAACTTTTGGCAAAGATGAAATTGATGCAGTGGTAAAAGGGCTCCCATCTGACAAAGCACCTAGTCCAGATGGTTTTAACCCTGATTTTTTGAAAAAAAGTGTTGGCCAATCATTTGTGAAGATTTTTACAGACTATGTAAAGCATTTCATTCAGGAAATATTTGCCTCCAGAGTATTAATGGTTCTCTCATCACCCTAATCCCAAAAAAGGATGATGCACCAAAGATTTTAGACTACAGACCCATATCTCTTCTCAATACTTCAGTTAAGATCATAACCAAACTTTTGGCTAATAGGCCTTAGCTTAAGCTCCTAGCTCTCCTTCATAAAAATTAATATGGGTTCATCATGCATAGAACCATCCAAGACTGCATCTCCTAGGCCCTTGAGTATCTACATATGTGTCAATAGACAAGGAGTGAGTTAATTATTCTAAAGCTTGATTTTGAAAAAGCTTTTGACAAAGTAGAGCATGAATTTATGCTTAAAATCATGGAACACAAAGGCTTTCCAGTTAAATGGTTGCAATGGATGAGACTTATTTTTCAGTCAGGAACATCTGTTGTCCTTCTAAATGGAGTTCCTAGGAAAGTTTTTCATTGCAAAAGAGGGGTTAGGCAAGGGGGTCCTCTTTCTCCTATTCTTTTTTGTCTTAGCTGTAGATTTTCTTCAGTCCATTTTGAATAATGCTAGAAGAAACAATCATCTCTCCTTGCCTCTACCTTTTCCACATGATGAGGATTTTCCAATACTACAATATGCTGATGATAGTCTCATATTCATGAAAGGTGATGTAACTGAACTGAATCATTTAAAGGAACTCTTGCACACTTTTGCTGAATCTACTGGATTGAAGATCAATTTTGATAAATCCATGATGGTGCCTATTAATATAGCTAAAGATAGATTTGATGAGCTTGCCACAACTTTTGGTTGCACAAAAGGGTCACTACCTTTTACCTATTTAGGTCTACCTTTAAGCCTAATAAAACCCACGGCGGCAGATTTCTGGCCTTTGGTCTTTAAATATGAAAGAAGGTTAGTTGCTTTCTCTTCCTATCTTAGTGAAGCTGCGAGATTAGAGCTCACTAATGCAGTCTCACAGCCCTTCCAACTTTTGCCATGAGCAGTTTCTTGCTTCCTAAAACTGTGATTAAACAAATAGACAAATATAGAAAGCATTGTTTGTGGAGAGGCTCTGACATTTCTAGTAAAAAACCGTCAAAGGTAGCTTGGCCTTTAGTTTGTTTACCCAAGCCAGAAGGGGGACTTGGGGTTCTTAATCTGACGGTTCAGAATGAGAGCCTTCTGCTTAAACATCTTCATAAGTTTTATAATAGAGCTCCCATTCCATGGGTTCAACTTGTCTGGACAAAATATTATTCAAGGGATAGACTTCTAGTTGCTGGGGCTACTTTTAGAAGATCATTCTAGTGGAGAGACATTTTAAAACTCATTGATCGGTTTAAAGGAATTGCAATGGTTTCAGTGAGAGATGGTAAATCTTCTTTCCTCTGGCATGATCTTTGGGATGGTACAATCTACGGTCAAGCTTTCCTAGAATTGTTTTACTTTGCTAAAAATCAATACATATCATTTTCTTTGGTAGCTATAGATACTCCTTTTCATGATCAATTTCATTTGCCCCTACCTCTTGAAGCCTATGCACAGTATCTACAACTCAATGACATGGTACAGTATATTCAATTTTAGCATGATAGTGATGTTTGGACCTATATTTGGAGGTCTTCTGCCTTCTCATCCAGGAAAGCTTATAAACAGTTGATTGGACATAGACATATTCACCGGTCCTTTTTTTGGTTTTGGAAATCTTCTTGCCAGAACAAAAGAATTTTTTTTGGCTAATCCTATAGGGCAGATTAAATACAAGAGCTCTCCTTAAAAGAAAGAATATGAAGTTAACGGATTACACTTGTGTTCTTTGTGCCTGTAATGTTGAAGAAGATCTGATTCATCTCCTATTCCAGTGCCCTTTTGCTTTGGCTTGTTGGGACACTTCACTTGACAGTGCCCAATACCTCTGATTTAGGCAACATCACAGAGAATTTCAGAGCTCAATTGCAGCTTCCTTTCTTCATGGAGATTATTATAACAATGTGTTGGTCAATATGGACAATGAGAAATGATGCCATCTTCAACAACGTCCCTCACTCAGTGCAAAGGTGCAAATTGGTGTTTAGAAAAGAATTTGCTCTGGTTATACTAAGAGCAAGATCAAAATACCATCCACGTATAGATTTATGGATAGAAGCATTTGTGTAATTTTTCTCATTTTCTTCTTGACTTTTTTTTGTCTCATAAGACTTGTTGACATATTTTAGACACTAGCAATCTTAATAAAATTCCAGTAGGGGGTCAAACCCCTCTTGTTTCATCAAAAATTCATCGAGCAAAGTTAATTGCAACAATTTTAGTTATCAACATCAGACTTGTTGTCATGAGAAAAAGTTTCTATAAAAGTAGTGTAGCACTTTCGTAGATCAGTATCATCTAAGGACTTTAGATTTTTTGAGTTGAATAAGAAACTAAAAACTTTTTCAAATGTCTTTTGAAGATTTTCCCATGTTCTAGGATCAAAGATAGTCAAAAGTGAATCTTCCTCTTCATCAATATTTACATTTTGCATATCATCCTAAGGCTGCAAATTTTCACCTCCCAAGTGTCCTCATTGGAATTAGCTTTTGCATCTAAATTTTACTCCCCCGTAG